GGGAGCAGAGCAAAGACATCACAGATCCCTTGCCGCTGGCAACAATACGCGCAGCAAGCCACCCGCCTCTATGACCACCCAGCATGCCGCTCGCCTCCATCATCCCCCAGCTTGCCGCTCACCTGCACGATACCCCAGCATGCCGCCCACTGGACCCCAGGTATTAAATCAAGTAATAATGTGTGAGTGTATGTCTGTCAGTGTATATCTGTCATGGTGTGTGTGTATTTCTGTCATGATGTGTGTGTGTGTGTGAGAGTCTGTCGTGGTGTGTGTGTATGTCTGTTATGGTGTGTATGTGTCTGTCGGTCATGATGTGTGTGTTGAGGTGACCAGACCCCTTCCGTTCGCAAAGGAACAGTGTTTTTACTCACCTTTTTTCCCCACACCATGCTGGTCTCCCCTCGACTGGCCCTGCCTCTATGGCTGAGATGATCAAGCTTGATTATCTCAGCCAATCTAATGTTTTGCCATAGGATTGGCTGCAAAATACTGCACCAATCAGCATCTACTCATAAAGATGCCCTCATGCTGTGCAGCACTGACACAGGAAGAACCACTAATGACCGTCTAAATGACAGTCACTAGAGGTGTCACTAGGAAACAATGTAAGCACTGCTTTACATTGAAAAGTCTGAAGGGACAGGCTATAGACACCAGAACCACTACATTAAGCTGTAGTGGTCCTGATGACTAGAGTGTCCCTTTAAGAATTGTATTTTAAAATCTGGCTCCTAACTTTATTAGCTGGCTCCTAGATTCAAAGCAAATTTGTCAAGCCCTTATGTATCATAATCCGAAACCTGGTGCAAAACAGTTATAGTAAAATAATTAAAGGGACACCGTAGGCACTGTATCTGCTTCATCTCATTGAGCTGGTTAGAGTGTATGGAGTCCCCTGGTGCCATCATTTCTTTCAGCATTAAACAGTTTTTAATGTTGTAATGTTTTAATGCTAAACAAGAGACCACGGCAGTCCATCTCCTCTGTGCTGCTTTGGCTAATAAGGAAGTATTACCCTGACAGGCAATGTGCAGCTGTGATTGGCTGAGAGTGTCAGCTGACTGCTTTTAACCTGTCAGAGCTCCAACTGACGGTATGAATGGGTATGACAACAAGGAAGTGTGTAATCTCTGCCTTAGCTACACATACAGAAGGGGCCGGACTGGGGGTGGCCAGGGACTCTTATTTTGTGGCATACTGCACAAATATGGTGCAACACTGAATGGAGGGACAGTGCCAGGGCACTCCAGGCACTATAACCAATTCAAAGAGACAAACTGGTTATAGTGACTACAGTGTCCCTTTAAGAATGGAATGTACAGTTTGATATTTGTTTCTATGGCGATTGCTCCACTTTTAGAACCTTGTACTAACTTTGGGAGGTATGTGATCAGGATGGGGTGGGCACGCTTTTGAGGGTAAGCCAGTATTGCAATTTGAGTCTCTGGAGATGTCCAAAATGGGCAGAGTGTTAATTTATATACAAAAGGATAGACCCACCAAAACGCTACAGGACACTATGTTTCTGTATGAGATTTTATTTTTGTAGTGCATAAAAAGACAAGCGTGCTTGTTTTGACACATCCACAAGATTAAGTGCAGCAAAGAATCAGCACATACATTACAGGACATGCCGAGCGACTAGCACATTTTATGAATGAATGCTTAACATCAGGAGGCTTGGAATTGGCTTGACTATTACAGCCTAATAATAATAATACAAGTAAAGGTTACGACATATAGCTACATTAACTAAGACATGTAATGGAAAACGAGAGGCAGCTATATCTCGGTGAGGTCTGAGTAATATGAAGACCACCGCCACAGCTGGCAAGACTGGTGCCTGAACATGATTCCTGATATATTCTGTAATATAAGAAAAGGCAAAGATTAATAGAGCAGCGTTTCCCAATTGGTGTTCCACGGAGAACAAAACTGGGGTTCTGCCGTGAATCGCAACATCCAAGATGGCCGCCGCTCCCTGCTGAAACAGCAGAAATCGTGTGGCCGCGATCTTATTAAGAGTTCGCGAGATGCAGTACTGCATGCCTGCCGTCAGAAACAGCAGAGATCGTGTGGTCGCGCTCTTATTAAGAGATTGTGAGATGCAGTTCTGCATGTCTACCGTCAGCCCGCCCTCCGTCAGCCCGCCCTCCGTCAGCCATCAGCCATTTCATATCCACTCGGTGAGATTGAGAGTGGAAACATTCAGGCACTCAGATTACAATACAAAATGAAAATTATTTATTTTACTGTCATTTACAATGATTACGGCCCTTTAGATTAGTGCCCATTGTGGCATCTGTGGATAGAGTTTTTTTATGGTTTTTGTGACTGTGTGAAAACAAGTTACTTGGGCTGGGCTTCTCATACTTTACTTTTATTAAACTTGTTTAAAAAATTTTTTATTTTAAAAATGTATATAATGCTTACTATCTGTATAAATCAGTGATATACCAAAAAACAACAAACAACACTGCTTCTGATGGAGAGTGGAAGCATTCAAAGCCTTTGTTAGGTGCTCAGCTCACAATATTGGCCACAGGAGAAATGATTTCTTGTACTGCCATTTAGAGATCACTGCCCTTTAGACAAGTGCTCATTGTGGCATATGAGAAAGTTTTATTTATTTTTATTGTTATGTAGAGACTGTTAAAAGTCTGCTGCTGAAAATAAGTATCTGTAGAAATCAGTGATATACCCCAAAAATGTATTTCTTTCTTAACAAAACATCCTATCCTTTGCAGTCAGATAGCGAAATCTGTAGTAAAGGGTTCTTTTTCACTCCAAGACTGAGCCAATATTCTGCTTACGTTAATTTTTTCTCTAAGAGCTTTATAAAAAACAATGTCAATTGCAGTCAGGTAGTGAGATCTGTATTTTGTTCAGGTTAGAAAAGTGTTTTTTTTAACCAACCAACAACCATGAATCTGGACATCTGGTTAAAACAAGGCACTATCAAGAGAAAAATGATTACTGCTTCTACGTGTTCAGCACTTATACAAACTGAGAAAGACGATACAACAAGAAATCCAGAAAACAGGTCAGAAATAGTTGAATAGTTGAATTTACAGTTCCTCAAATAGCAGAGACAAGTGACAAGTCAAAGAGAAAAATAAAAGCACACAATGCTGGCCAATCTTCTTCTCAAACAAAGAAAAGAAAATATGATGATAGCTACTTGTCATTTGGATTCACAAGTGCCAGAAATAAAAATATTCCTCAAGCACAATGCTTATTTTGCAAGAAAATATTGCCCAATAGTTCATTAGCACCTGCTAAATTACATTGTCATTTTGAGCAAAACCACCCAGAGTACAAAGGTAAAGACATTAACTTTAAGCAAAAGCTTCAGGAGTATCAGAAGACTAAACAGTTTATGAGCAAAATATTTAAAAATGATAATGAAAAAGCCATTTATTAAAAGGTTTGTGCTTTTTTTGGGGGGTTCCACAATGTCGGTATACTATGTCAAAGGGTTCCATAATGTTGGTATACTATGTCAAAGGGTTCCATGATGTTAGTATACTATGTGAAAGGGTTCCATGATGTTGGTATACTATGTGAAAGGGTTCCATGATGTTGGTATACTATGTCAAAGGGTTCCACGATGTTGGTATACTATGTGAAAGGGTTCCACGATGTTGGTATACTATGTGAAAGGGTTCCATGATGTTGGTATATTATGTCAAAGGGTTCCACGATGTTGGTATACTATGTGAAAGAGTTCTATGATGTTGGTATACTATGTGAAAGGGTTCCATGATGTTGGTATACTATGTGAAAGGGTTCCATGATGTTGGTATACTATGTGAAAGGGTTCCATGATGTTGGTATACTATGTCAAAGGGTTCCACGATGTTGGTATACTATGTCAAAGGGTTCCATGATGTTGGTATACTATGTCAAAGGGTTCCATGATGTTGGTATACTATGTCAAAGGGTTCCATGATGTTGGTATACTATGTCAAAGGGTTCCATGATGTAGGTATACTATGTCAAAGGGTTCCATGATGTTGGTATACTATGTCAAAGGGTTCCACGATGTTGGTATACTATGTGAAAGAGTTCTATGATGTTGGTATACTATGTGAAAGGGTTCCATGATGTTGGTATACTATGTGAAAGGGTTCCATGATGTTGGTATACTATGTCAAAGGGTTCCACGATGTTGGTATACTATGTCAAAGGGTTCCATGATGTTGGTATACTATGTCAAAGGGTTCCATGATGTTGGTATACTATGTCAAAGGGTTCCATGATGTTGGTATACTATGTCAAAGGGTTCCATGATGTTGGTATACTATGTCAAAGGGTTCCATGATGTTGGTATACTATGTCAAAGGGTTTCATAATGTTGGTATACTATGTCAAAGGGTTCCATGATGTCGGTATACTATGTCAAAGGGTTCCACGATGTTGGTATACTATGTGAAAGGGTTCCATGATGTTGGTATACTATGTCAAAGGGTTCCATGATGTTGGTATACTATGTCAAAGGGTTCCATGATGTTGGTATACTATGTCAAAGGGTTTCATAATGTTGGTATACTATGTCAAAGGGTTTCATGATGTCGGTATACTATGTCAAAGGGTTCCATGATGTTGGTATACTATGTCAAAGGGTTCCATGATGTTGGTATACTATGTCAAAGTGTTCCATAATGTTGCTATACTATGTCAAAGGGTTCCATGATGTTGGTATACTATGTCAAAGGGTTTCATAATGTTGGTATACTATGTCAAAGGGTTCCATGATGTCGGTATACTATGTCAAAGGGTTCCATGATGTTGGTATACTATGTGAAAGGGTTCCACGATGTTGGTATACTATGTGAAAGAGTTCTATGATGTTGGTATACTATGTGAAAGGGTTCCACGATGTTGGTATACTATATCAAAGGGTTCCATAATGTTTGTATACTATGTCAAAGGGTTCCATGATGTTGGTATACTATGTCAAAGGGTTTCATAATGTTGGTATACTATGTCAAAGGGTTTCATAATGTTGGTATACTATGTCAAAGGGTTCCATGATGTCGGTATACTATGTCAAAGGGTTCCATGATGTTGGTATACTATGTCAAAGGGTTCCATGATGTTGGTATACTATGTCAAAGGGTTCCATGATGTTGGTATACTATGTCAAAGTGTTCCATAATGTTGGTATACTATGTCAAAGGGTTCCACAAAAAAATTAATTGGGAACCCCTGTAATAGAGGAAGAGGAGAGTTTGTTATGAAAACACTGCAGCAATTACTGCATATTGCAAATAGGGTCTCAATTGTAAATGGATTGTTTTATACAGTAATAATAAATTACAGGAGAGGTAGAATCCAATAACACAAATATTATATATTATATAATAATATCAGGCAAAAGCAAAAAGAAGCACGCCATTCAGATAGTAAAACAATATCAGGATGAACCATAGAAATTGTGGGAACTACTAATTATACGTAGGAAATAATAACAAAGTATTTAACCAGGAAAGGTACATTCGGATTACTCTGGTTTTCAAGTATGTCCTGGGGATGTTACCTTACCCAACATCCAGGGGTTGTTACTATTACCCAATTTAATGGTACTCATTTTATCTACCTTGGAAGGATGAAGGGCTAAGGGCTAAGGGCCGAGCATAAAGTTCACAAATATTACATCAATGGAATGTCAGAATGTCATTTATATGAATCTAGGTACAGAGACCATGTGAAAAATATCAGCCGAATCCCCTTGAGCATCAGAACATCCCAGACGTAGTGGGACTTCATGTTCAGGGATTTCCCTTATTGTTCTGATATCAGATAAAGATAAAACTAAGTAGAGGGGTCCAGGGACTGAAGAAACATTCCACTGGCAATTAAAATACTTACACTACCAAGCATTAATATTACATGGGGAATATGAGCCTAAGACAGAAAACTATTGCAGCAAAACAATTTTCCTCCTGACAAACTTTCAACAGAGAAATCCATGGAAATTACTGATCCTCGACCCCTTAACAACCAAGAGCATGCCATCCTTGACATACATTAAAGGGATTGCACAACTCGAGGTCCCCATGGGATCAAATAGCAGAATACTGAATATAAGAAATAGCATATTCTCTCAAGTAAGCAGTTTATGCGTTCACTCCTTTCTAAAGGAATTTCTAAACCAACTCCAGTGCACCGAGCATTATTTCTGAATAAGAAATGTAAACCAGACCAGGAGAATTGAATTTTGCAGAGAAGAATCTTGGTGAAACAAACAGCTGGTATCAACAAAATTTAAATCAAGGTCAAATTTCATTTGCCAAAGTAAAGCATACCAATGAAAAATGTCAGGCAATTGCTTTGGAGAGTTAATTGTTCATAGGAGCCAATAGGGGTGGCGTTCTAAGGGCCGCCGGCCGCTGTGGTCCCGTTCTTAATAATAAGACACAGTGCCCACATTAAAGATGGCGCCGGCGTGCGTGTGATGTCACCCTGTCGACGCACACGCAAGTTTTAAGGTCAAAGGCCACGTACTGACCAAGTACAGCACTGAGAGGCATATTTAAACCCTGTAATGTATTATCTCAGTGTCCTGTCATGGGTTCTATTTATTGGTTGTCACTAAGCGCATTCTTGTTCATATTTTCTGTTTTTTGACATTGGCTTGTAATTTTGACTTTCCCTACTTCTGGTATCCTGACCTTTGGCTAGTATTCTCGTATTGTCTCAATCAGTATCTCCCGACCTTGGCTTGTTTATTGACCATTCTCTTCAGCATTAAGTTCGGCCATTCTAAGGCCCGGTATGCGGTGTGTTTTGTGTTAACATAGGTTTGCGTGTTGGGTCATACAGTAGTCATGAAACTCTGTTAATAGCCTTCAAGACACTACAGGATCCTCCTGTGTATGCCTAAAGTTTCATTTTATGATTAGAATTTAATTTACATAGCAGGAGATTTAAACTTCTAAAGCAAGTTAACATCTGATTTAAAATAAAACCATTTTAATGCTGGCTGTGTGAGTCACAGCCAAGGGAGGCATGGCTATGGTAGCATGGACAGAAACAACATTGATTGAACATCTAAATGGCAAAGAAATGAGCAGTGAGACTGCAGGGCCATGATCTATACACCAAAATTGCTTCAATAAGTTTAAGTTGTTTTGAACCTATAGTATCACTTTAATTATACCCCAATCTATTTAAAATTAATTTAGGTTTTAAGTACTATTAAAAAGCAGGATTCTACATCAGCTATTGTGGCTGTGCAACTCTGTTAATCCATGCACGACATAAATAAAGATTTTTTTTTTTTATTTTTTTTTAAAGCAGAATTATCGGGGAAGGTTTTATTTTTGAATTAAGCTCATCCTGTGTTAGAAACTTTTTACAATATGGCTGTCAGTTTCATTATAGCATTTTTCTTTAAATGTATCCTTAACCACCTTAATCTCATTTTCATACATTTCTATATTTCACGTTATGCTCACTCAATTCAATTAAAGTTACATTATCTAGCTATTTCCTAAGGTGACAGCTATCTTGAAGAATATAGCTGTTCACATCAACTTTCCTAAAAAAAAAAACCCTCAGATCTGGGACAGGTTTCAAGTTGTTTTGATGCCTATAGTATCCCTTTAAGAAATCTGTTGTTTTCCATAGATCGTACATTTCTCCTCACCACTACAAACACCTTTTGTGTGTAACTAAAGGCACCTTTAAGAAATAATGATTAATTCTTTTTAAATTTGGTTGGTATTACATGACAATGACAATCAATAATACAAACACAGAACAAAACTACAAGTATAATATAAAAGTTCAACAGTACAGTCAGTGAATTGATTGTGGCAGGCTTGTTTTCCAATGTCTAGCAAAGTTGGTTCTTGCAGCTTCGAGAATATAAATAATTAACGTCTTTTGTAATCCCCAAAGTTGTGGAGGTACATGTCGAGGAGAAAATGTTCAGGTTGTTTTGGAATACAGAACTTAGTGGTGTCATAAATCATAGATTGTATGACTGTCCAGTTCACAGGTCAGTCCCAGAATATGTGACGAGGGTGCCGGGTTGAGTGGTGCATCTCCAACAAAGGTCAGAACTTGTAGGGTAAATATGTAGGAGTCTCATGGGGACCATATACCACCTCATGATCAATTTACAGTGGAGTTCCCAATATGTTATGCATTCTGATGTGCTGTGCATGATCAATGTTACTTTCTACCAGCAGGTTTTCCACATCTCCTTTTCCCATTGATGAATGACTCAATATTTTACCGATGTTTATGAAGAATGATTGACCGTGTTTTTTTGTTTCTTCATTCTCAGCCGAGACAGGCTATTTACACATTTCGGCATAAGACCTCCACTGTGTTTCGATGGAGGAGTGGGTGCAAGCTGCGGCTTCGCTCTTCTGCTGCTTTCACTGCTGGAATTGTGAAGTCCTTGGACCTGATATATAATGACATCTGCGTTCTTGGATGTGTTAACCTTCACTTTTTTGTTTCCTGGAGAAGCAGCAGCACAGAGCTCATAACACCCGTTTCAGGCAGGATCCCCCCCTTTTCTGCTTTTTTTCTAAATTTCTATTTCATTCTCATTATTAGATGTTTCCGTCTTACTCTGAGCTAGTCTTTCCTGTATGTCAGGTACCACATCCTCCATAACAACCTCACTGTTTTCTTTAACTTCATTTGATCTTTCGTTGCTGACACTTGACTTTTCCAGTGAAGGTCCATCCTGAGCATGCTACCCAGAAAAAAAACAAAATGTCAGAATGTATTAATTGAAGGAGCCTATTGTGCATTGCTATTCGTTAACATCAATGGAATGGGTGTGTAACCTACATTGTATATATAAAATTATATCTACACTAAGTGAGGAATAAAATAGAAAGTACACAAAGTACACACAGAGGATATAACAAGTCAGCACAATGTGCTACACTAGGTGACAGGCGGTAGAATGTGTATAGTGTATTACAGAAACACAGATAGGGAGGAGATAAATCACACACACTCTGTACTGCAATGTTCAAACTGCATACAGATTAAAAGGAACACAAACATGTATTTCTGACCCTATAGAGATAAAAAAAAAATGCAGTTTAGCCCCCTGGCCCCCCTTAAATAAGTTAAAACTCACCTTATTTATAGCACCACGCGAGTTTACTGGCACTGACCTGCCCCGATTGCCTCCTTGGCTAACATCATCAGAATTGATGATCTCAATCAATCACAATGTTTTTCCAAGCATTGGATTGGCTGATATTGTCAATTCTGATGATCTCAGCAAAGGAGGTGGGGGGGAGCACGAGCCAAACTGTGCAGCACTGCCCCAGGAAACACCTCGAGTGGCCATCTGAGGAGTGACCACTGGAGGTGTCCCTTGGCTGTAATTTAAACACTTTTATTTCTCTGAAAATGTCATATTTACAGCAAAAAGCATGCAGGGACATACTATACACACCAGAACAACTACATTAAGCTGTTGTTCTGGTTCCTATCGTGTCCCTTTAAAGTAATATTTGGGAAGAGTATTGTCATCTTTCTTTCCCTGGTATAAGAAAGTCATGGGATCTTTCCCTTTCACCTCTAATCAAAAAACTAATGACCCTAAAAAATGAATAATCTGCCACAATATTTACATGCTTACCAGGTGTTGGATCTTGATCTGTGCAGGTGGAATGACCTCATGCATTCCCAGGGGCTCATCCTCAATCAACAGCCCATCTTGTTTGCCAGTGTGATAAATCGTGCATGCTACATTTCAAAAGAAAAACAAATATAAGAATGTATTTATTTAATTGAACATTATCATGTATAAACTATCATAGAAAGGATGAGTGATATGCTGTGTATTTTATTTTATATATAGAGATACAAAATAAAAACAGCACCGATAAATGGAATATTAGAAAGTAGCCTTTATAATGATGCATACAGTGTGCTATGTGACAAGAAGGCAGTGTCTGAATGTATGGTGTATTAAGGTAACACACATAGAAAGTAGTGTTCCACTGTTAGCAGCGCTCGAGACCTGCAGAAATGCGTGGGAACGGTGTTCCTGCACTTTTTCCACAGCAGGAATGCCGTTCCCGTTAGTAGTACTGCAGGGTGGGGGCAATTGCACCCCCCCACCTCGAGAGCCGATGCTCTCCCCTGCAGAGCCAAGCGCCGACCCTGCTATGTGCCTTCATGGAGCTCAGTCTCTAGCCCCTCCGGGTCCTCCTCTCACGAGCACAGAGAGTTGCTGCGGTTACCGTGCTG